AACATTGGTCTTCCAATAAATAAATGAGAGTCGGTAATTTGTTCCATTTAATTTGATTGGAACAAAGTGAATATCCTCGCTGATCACTTATTGATTCGTGCATAAATGATTTATTTGATTAGAACAAGTGAATCGTGCACAAATGATGAATGTAATAAGTATGTATTAAATCAATCTCTGAAATTTTGAAGTTGGTTTTGCTGGTTCAACCAATAAGGAAATTTTAATATTTAAGAACAACAAAATCGATGTTCCTCTAAGAGATTTATGTGTATGTGCTACTCTAAGCATAAGTTCTTGATTTTATTGTTGAAAGGAAAAAATATTGATGATTTTCGGTGCTTAGTCAGGGCAATTGCTATCGAATTTAAAACTTTTGAGATGTGGGCTTACAAGGATTATATATCTGGTGGAAGATGATCCCAATTCATCTCTGTCCTCTGTTCTAATCTCTGTCACTTTTCTTCTATTCTTCCCTACTGTATACCACATCTAGAATGAGAAACATAAGCTGGATTGAAAGTCCATTTTTCATTAATGTTCACCAGATTTAAATAGGATACTATTGTTAAACGTGGAATAAATCATATTTGTGTATAGTAAGATAATCTAGTGATTTACTAGTTTGTTACCAAATCTATGATTTCATGGTTTGTTACTAAATCTATGATTTAGAATGTAATCAGGATAGTTGTTATGCTTAAGTTGTGCCGACGTTTGAGAAGCTGGAGCAAGAAGATTAAAAACTCATTAGAACTTCCATATTTATTCCATGCAAGTTTGCTTGACCTTTAGTCTTTTTTAATGTTTCCACGGCATGAATGAAACGTTCATACCCAACAATCTTGTTGGCTCTTAAGATTTATGTTCATGTCATGGTTACTTTTGTATTGTCCTAGGTTACAGAACGGTGGAAATCTTTCGTTATGTCCATTCATAATCCACCTTGACATATTCAAAGTTCATCAGGGTTCTAAAAATTCTTGTTTGAGGAGTCGATCACACTAATGAGCTATGTCGTTTCTTAACATACAATAGGGCAACTTCCTCGTTTCCTAAGCTAATTTATTCTAAGTGCACCACATGCATCTACTCATGAATTGTCTGTTCCTTATATGGTTCATACCAACTCAGCTTGAGCTAGTCATCCGCTCATGAATTGTCGTACTCCTTTCCTAACGAACCTTCAAGGATATCCTACTTAATACTTCTCGGATGCTTTTTTAGTCTTTAGTGCATACTTCCTCACTAATGAGCGGTGTTATGTAGTTCTTCTCAATTAATGGACGATGTTTGTCTCTATTCTCTATATAGATGTTGAAGACAATGATGTGGTCAATTCACCTCAATTGGCCACGTCACCCAAAAATGGACTCTAGTGGTTTATTTACCTAATTTTTCCTATTCAAGACTCGTTTCAACCCAAATACTTTTGGTTCCCTAATGTTGACACCCTACAGGTCCAATACAAAAAAAAATTGGACAAGGTTGAGTATCAGGGTGCGAGATCGAAGGTTCCAAACACACCGAGCAAGTAAGTAGCCACTTTGGTATTTCCTCAAAAAATATTTGTAAGAATAGCTTGGTCTTACCTCATAACCTTCAAGTTAACTCAGAACTAAGTAGATTTGAAAGGATTGGGCTAGACCACGAGTTAAAGACCCAAATTTAATGTTTTTAATGGATAACCTAATATCTTATAATTAGGATGTACAGCAAAATTTGATGGACGTAGGATCAGGTTTAGGACCTAAACCAAAGATATGGGTAAAATAACCAAAATACCTGTACATTGTCCTTATGATGTTTTATGGTCAGCCTATTATAAGGTTATAAATAGAGTAGTACCTTGACACTTAGACTGCAAGGTACTACTCTATTTAGACCCGCCTTATGTCCTAAGTGACCCTAGACCTCCCGATACATAGTACATTATGATCATATATTTTTCTCGCTTTAGTGGGTTCCCTTGTTCAAACTCTTTTCTAGATGCCCTACTCGTAGGATGCCAGAACCTAAACTATGTTGCAAGGGAATGTTGGGACAACCATGGCCAAAATTTAAATTTTGAATTCTTGTGCAAATATCGAGCCCAAGTTTTATATTGAGGTTTATGTTGCTTACTTCTCATGTGACCTAAAAGATCTTCTAAACGGAGTGTTTTGGATCAGGACTAGTGACATGCATTGTGTATCAAGTGGAAGTGGACAACCCAATAAGATCCACTCTCCTTAAATTCATCAAAGACTGAGGTATCATATACGTGCATAAGTGAGGTCTAGACACCAGACTAACAAAATCTTATGAATTTAAGAACTCGTGGTCTAAGACCAAGGTCCTTAATACAAAAACCGTGTTATGCCTTTGGTCAAATTTTAGGGTATAGTATCCCTACCATCCACCATGGACACGATTAAAAGCCTACAAGTAGACTACTTACGAAGTTATATACTCACTCTAGTTTTTACATATATTTAGGTAACAACTAGAAGCTAGTCGAGGACATGAGCGAATATGGAGCAGGTGCCATAGAGAGCCAAACTTAGAATATGAGCGAATATGGAGGAAGTTATGTCTCATGTTTTTAAATCTCTTGGGTCTCTAGTTTTAAAACTATAAAAAATTTACCATATTTTTACTCTATCGAATCAATCGTAATAGTCGGAAAAATAATCAATTTTCTCCTCAAAAAAATACAAAATTATTTTTAAACGGGGAATATAAATATTTTTAAAACATTTATATCTAAAATCTATTAAAAAATATTGAGAATGAATTTTTATTTTATTTTATTAAATTCCATAAAAATTTAATTTAAATTGATATTAAAGCTGATTTTATGAATTTTTAAAAAATAATATTAAAATGTAAGGCATGGTGGACAAAAGACAGACTAGCATTGTATTCCGAATTAATCAATAATTAATAAAACAGTGAGTCAGACATATCCTGTCCTCTCAAAGCTCTTCTTTGGTTGCAAGCGTTGTCGATGCTCTCTTGATCTTCGGTCCCGTTTCCGCCGCAAGTTTCGTGTAAGTGTTTCACCTTCATTTTTGTAAATTTCGTTTTTCGATTGCAAATTTCTGGAATTTTCTTTCGATGTTTTATTCCGGTGTTTAATTCTGATCGAGTTTCTGATTAGGAAAAACACCTAAAATAGGGGTTGAACTCGATCCTGGAACCTAATCTGCGGATCAAAATTCAAATATTTTAGTTTTCTTATTCTTTGGCTGTTGAATTGAGTTGTTGAACGATTTCGTTTCAGTTTTGCACTATAGGCAATGAGGTTGAATTGGTACTAGACAAAATTAATCGGTAGGTCTGCTATGTTAATCGAAATTTCACATTACTTTCTGGAGAAAGAAGAATCCTTAGCGAGTAGCATCGGTGAGAGAGTATTTATGGAGATGCATGTTGACTATTACGAATGAAATCTGTATCATCTGGTAAACACTAAAGATGACTTTTCTGAATCTTGTAAATGTCATATTAGTTTAATTAAACTCATTTTCATTGTTGGTTTCTGAATCCTTGGTTGGAGCCTGGATATAGCTGACGTTTGAAGTGTTTATTTGTCACCTTGAATTTTGGATGCGTTTTTCGTTCCAAATCCTTTGTCCAAACCTAACCTCTTCTAGCCCTCTAACCCTTTCTAACTATATATTTGACCAAAAGTTTCAAGAAATCTAGCCCAAAATTTCATAAGATATTATCCAGTTCTCAAGCAGCAGACCTAAACACATACCGGAAGAATTTTGGACAAGTTGCATGTTAATCCTCCATAAATTGGCAGACAAGATTCCGAGGGATTTTGAGCCTTACGGTGAAATAGAGCACAAGGGATCTGGTTGAGCATCCAAAATGAGCAAATAGAGATTTACCAGAAAATGCAGTAAAAAATTGAGAGCCCACCTATGAAGATCATTCGAGAAGAAAAAGAAAAAAAAAATACATGAATGAAGTTGTTGGGACACAAAATATAGCAGCAAATGGCTTTCTAATGAATTTTGAAGGCGCCTTTAGCCACAATAGTCGTCCCACCCGTGGACTCATAGCTATACTTCTTCTTAATGATGATCCTATGCCATAACGCATTTGAATTTGAAGGAAATCACCAAAGCTTAGCAACCAAGAGAGAAAAATCCTTACTGGACAAAATTTACCCTACCCAAGCACCTTTGCTACACCACTTAGAAACAACCTCCTATCCAACAAGATTAGATTATCCATGCTTCTCATCACTTTCCTACCAAAAACTCCTCATCACCCTTGCTAAAATGGAGCACACTAATGAGGGAATCCTAAACAAGGAAGGTAAGTGGATAGGGATTTAGTAACATTCTATTGGTTTAATTTTATTAACTTCCTGTTCTTAGAGAAACAACTTTCTTCTAAGAAGAGGGATTTTTTCGATTTCTTCTACGAGTGGGTCCAAAAAGAGTAGACTGAGGAAAGGATTATGTCCCAACCAAAAGAAGTTGTAGTAATGTTGTAAGTTGCCAAGAACTTCACGACCAGCGAAGTGAGTTCGCCTCTTAAGTTTATCTGGATCAAGATAAAGACCAGCAACAAATTATTCCTCCTCCCTACATGATACTAATAACAATATGGTCTTGAGAACTTCTGCTAAAGTTCAGAATGAACCCTCCCTTCTGGAACAAAAATCTAATGTTACCATCATCAAATTACAAATGAGTGAGATGGTAACTTTCTAGGAAACTCCTATTTATGCATCTAGTAAACTGTAGTCCACTGTGAAAAAGGTGACCTGGATCTGATGAGAAAAATCTTACCACTACCTTTGCCATCGATCACGATAGATATTGGTAATGCTACCAACATCCATTGCAATAATTCCATTCACAGTGAACTGCATATTTTGAATTGGATCACATTTTCCCATTATCGACCAATTAGCTCACATGCTTTAACATATCTTTCTCGGGCCATCATGTGTCGTTGGAAAAAATAATCATCATTTCATGATATGGCTTCTACAGTTAAACCGTTCACACTGGTGAATTCATCACGTGGGTATTGTCCAAAGAGGAAGACATGAAAGGACAAGAATATAGATTTGAAACTTCAGAGAGTTCTGGGGAAAAGGTGGAGCATCTGGTTCAAATCAAGGCCTTGTTTTTTGCTAGAGCTCGAGATCTTACGGGCCTAAACGACATGGTATTGGATGTCCCTTCAGGCAGTACTGCCAAGGATTGTTTGAACAAGATTGTAGGAAAATTTCCACGGCTAGAAGAGATCATTGGATGTGTGGTTCTTGCTCTGAATGAGGATTATACAACTGAGTCAACAATTGTTAAAGATAAAGATGAGTTAGCAATTATCCCTCCCATAAGTGGTGGCTAACGTTTCTTCTGTTGCCACCAAAGACATTTCCCCGTTTTCTTTTTGGTGCCTTTTCAAATGTGGGACTTAATAAGAGCTCAAGCATTTCTTTTGGTTTAAAACATCTATTGTAGATTAAACGTTTTCTTTCCTTCTGAACCTTGGTAAGTAAAAAACATATTCCCATGGGAATTTAGAACAATATTTAGAAAGCTAAAATTTTAATTCCAGTTTGTACCAATGTTTTGACTCTTTTATTATCATAATCATTAAGATTATTAACTAAATTGAAATTGCACACGTTCAAGGCTGAAAATGGATTAAGAGTACAGGATTGGTTGAAACTTTGATGCATGAAAGATCGAATGAAACTATTAAACGATCATGGACAGTAAAGTTGAAAAGTAACATATGCATCAAAGATAAAGTTGTTTATATTTAGGCCTAAAATAAAATTGACAAAACGAATTTCACCCATTATTGTTACACCGTGAACTCCCTAATGGACTCCATGTTTGTACATTCTTTTAAATATTTGAGTAGATTTGACAAAGTTTTTTTTTCTTTTTACTATTTAATAGTATTTTTTAAGCATTTGAAAAGTCATTTCAAACATTTGTAGACGTGGGCATGAAAGAGACAAGCAAACGTCTGTGAAAGTGTTTCAAAAAGAGTAAACATAAGAGAGGCAGGCAACGCTCTTGAAAGTGTTTCAAGTGAAGTGAGCATGAGAGAGATACGTAACACCCGTGAAAATGCTCTTAAAAGAGTCAAAAGAGAATCCAGTAATGTTCTAGAAAGTGCTTCAAGAGAAGTAAGCACGAGAGAAAATGCTCTAAGAAAATAGTTTGTAGAGTTACACACTCTCGTGACTCTAACTAATAGATATGCAAACAAAAGAATTTCATAGGCTAATCTACTCGAACATAGTTTGAGATTATTTATATTTTTGGTTTCACTTTAAAAAAAAAGAACATATATAAGATAGAAACATGGTTGATAATTATTTTATGTTGTCCGTTCTCTCTGATATTAAATTATTAACAAAATAAAAAGCTTTCAAATTAAAAATTAATTTTTTAACGATCAAATGTTCTTTGATTATGAACTCTTAAAGTGTTAATATTCTAAGATTTTTAGTTGGATGTATAATGAGTTCTTAAACAGTAAAAAAAAATATTCTAATAAAACTCTGAAATTTCAATTTTATACCTAATAAATCTCTTACATTTTGATTTTTTGAATTTATAAATTGGTTAAATACACACTTGAAAGTTTAATATTAGATTAGCACAAAACTCAATTTTATTTCTAACAAATAAGTGGAAACATTATTGAAATCATTATAACAACATATATTCACTCGGTTTCGTACTTGAAAAGGTAGTGAAACCTAATAGAAGAGACTAGTCCACCAAACTAGATGATGTGTATTGGGCACATAAAATAATTTTTTGAGAGACTCGAGCCACGTACTGTTATGTATCGACTTGAAACTTATGAAAGACATGAGACAATAAATAACTAAAAAAAAAATTTATGCTCGAGAGTACATTATACCATATAACCCTTAGCTAAAACAAGTTAATACAAAAGGAAGACTCGGGCCTAAATGGTCTTCTAGAGATATGCAATTTTGGAATGCTCCTACTCCCCACTAACTCCTCATCTATCATCTAAAATACACAAAGTAGCAAGAATGAGTATAAAAATATACTCATTGAGCTACTTGCAAGCTCTAAATCAAATACAACTTTAATCTAAAACCACATGTCTAGATTGTAGATTGTCGAGGTTAACCCTAAATCTAAGGGCTTACAAGCTCCGATTTTGGATGTTTAACCCAAAAGTCCTTTTATATTCTATCCCTATCAAGGTCTTGAATAGTTCACCTAGGTTGTTGCTATACATGCTCATGGTTGGAAAAATAGTTCTAAAGTCTGAGAATTCTAAGAATAGACCAAAAAGTTGAAAATTGCAAAAATAACCCTAAAACTCGATTTTATGTAGATTGGGTCCGCTTCTGGATATTTTTCCAAATCAATGACTTTTAGCTTTTCACATCTCTCCTCATCATGCTTACATCCTATAAGGAGTTGCCACAAAATGATCCAACGACTCAGATTGGCCACAGGTTAGTGTTGAATTAAGGACAATTAGGTATTTATAACTCTATTGATGAGTTCTAAAATCGATGGCATGATTGGTTTGAATATCATAGGTGAAGTTCAACCCTATCCAAGCCGAGTTGACGGTTTACTTGTGGATACTTAAGAAGATCAAATTATGCTTATAGTGTAAGTTCAAAACTTACATTGGGAATATCTAACCTTGACTTTTTTTGAACATCATATTATTCGAGGTATTTTTCTTTTCCGCTAGCTTTTGACAGCATAAGCATATGCTTGTCCATAATTAGTCCTAAGGAGTACATTAAAAAGTTCCTCCGGTGAGTCCACGTGCATAGACTATGAAGAGAAGTACACTATACATCATGATATTATTCGTGTACTTTCCTTTTCCTCTAACTTTTAACAGTAAGTGTGTGCTTGTCCATAGTCAGCCCTAGAGAGTACATTAATGGATCCACATGCATATTCATAGATTGTGTATAGAACGTACTATGCATCCAACCCTACATGAAAATAAAGCCCAAAGTACAACTATGATTAGGCCCCCAGTTGCATATTATACGTGAAGCTTGATCCCGATAATGGGACTACTTGCCTGAGCTATGCATTCATCAATATAAACACAAAATGGAATATCTCAAAGGGAAAGAAAAAAAGAAAAGAGAAGCCATTATCTGAATTCACTTTACAGACAGCTGATGCTGAAAGCATCTTGTATTGGTGCATAACATAGATAGAAACCTGTGGAATATTACATCTTTTAGATAGAGAGAGAGACACAGGGAAACACCATCACTTTTACTTTATCCGCATCTCGTGTGGGAAGAATCCTCAACTCATGCTCATTGCAGGCCATGGATTTATCCCGGCACCAGGGAGAGCAGGTCGAACAACTGGGACACGCCTCACAATCGAAAAGGCTTCGTTAAGACGAGCAGCTCGGCTCTTGAGTGGAGATCCCTTCTGCAGGTAATAATTAGTTCATAGGGTCAAAAAATATAATCCCAACTTTGAAACGATGCCGAAAATCGACATCCCGATAGAGTATTTGAAAAGGGGGAGGGGGAATTGCTGCCTATGTTGCAGAATATCAGCCACATAAAGCAGTCTAGCTCCTACCCAAATTTCTCAAGGTGTCGTTTTCATCTAATTGAATGCTAAACTTGAATAAATGGGGAAGTTCCCAAAAGGAAAACCATGCAATAAATGCCCCAACTATAAATGTCCAACAAGAAAGTGTTCACAGCAAGCCAACTAACAGCAGCAGTATTAAACTTGGTTCACATTTTGGCACATCAATGAGAAGGAGCTGAACTGCCCCAGCACCAAGCCTATCGAGCCTACTGGCCTAAACAACCGAATCAGCTCTCACATAAGCTAACAACAAACTCAAGCTCGAGCCTGCTGACCTAAACAGCTAAATCACTACTCACAAAAAGCTAACAACAAACTCAAGCTCGAGCCTGCTGACCTAAACAGCCGAATCACCACTCACATAAGCTAACAACAAACTCAAGCTCAAGCCTGCTGACCTAAACAGCCGAATCACCACTNACATAAGCTAACAACAAACTCAAGCTCAAGCCTGCTGACCTAAACAGCTAAATCACTACTCACAAAAAGCTAACAACAAACTCAAGCTCGAAGCCTGCTGACCTAAACAGCTAAATCACTACTCACAAAAAGCTAACAACAAACTCAAGCTCGAGCCTACTGACCTAAACAACCAAATCACCACTCACATAAGCTAACAACAAACTCGAGCCATGCCTATTAAACTTGATTTGTGTTTCACTATAAAGAAAAATACTGAATTTTCACTCAAATTGTTAATATACCAAGTAAAATGACAACAAATATGCAGGCACAATAAACCCAACAAACAACAATTTCCAGAATTTCTTCACAGTGAAGCAATTAGTTAACCTAAGAAAAAATTTCAGTATCAACAGTTCATCATCTAATTTGTTTGTTGTATAAATTCTTAGTGAATTTACCTTCTCATTCAGGATAACCTTCAAGTGCAAGCTCTGGCTCTTCCTCTTCATTTTGTAGAGCTTCCTCCCAAGAATAATGAATCCCATTACAGCAGCTGCTAATGAGAATGACCAGACAGGGCTTGCCTTAAACATGCAATACTTCAAGACATCAAATGAGACTTTCCACCAAACTACTTTCCTTGTATCTCCAACCTCACTGCCAGATTCTGCATTCACTTTTGTTTCTTCAATTTGGAGATTCTTGTTCTCCTCCAAATGTTCTTTGCCTTCTTCTTCTTCCAACTTCCCAACTTTCAAGCCACTTTGATCTATATTCCCACCAGAATCAGACAAGAAATTGTTCAAATCCTTGCTTTGGGGTTGGATTTCTTCAGATTCTTCAAAAGCTAATCCAACATGTGATTCTAAACTCTCCAATTTTCGATTCCTACCGCTCATTTCCTCATCGCCTAGCAGAAATTCTGCAATTCCAGACTCAGTTTTCAAATTGAATTCGCTAAATTTACGATCATCAGACCTATCACTACCAGAATCGGACCACAATTCTCCCGAAATTACCCGACTATGCCGATTCTCCGAACTCGGATCAATCCAACTAGGATTATCGGATTTAACCGAACCCTCCTCTTCGCTAAGATCACGCTCAGGAACAGTTTTCGCTCGCCGTCCCTGATTATCAAGAGAGAAATAATCGGATTTGATCATGCTTTCGGAATCGGACACATCCTCAGCTCCGCCGAAACGGGTCGGTTTCTCCCCGGAAAACTCAGCGGCAGTCAGGGGAGTTTCGGCGTTCGAATCATGGAGCAGCACCTCCCAATCCTCAAACTCAGCACCCACAGCTCCTTCCATAGTGGCCAATAATAGAAATTTCCTCAACCTACGGACTGAAAATGAAAAAGGGGAAAACTACAATAAACAAGTTGAATACAGAAACAAGCAGCCAAAACACAAAAAGGGCAAGAAATCAAACAAAAGTAGTAGAAAAAGGAATCCAACCCAGTGAGAAAGAAAGAAAACCAACGACCCCCCCGAATCAAAACCTGACCCAAATTCGTTGAATCTTGGAATTCAACAACAGAGTATCAAAAACCAGAGGCGTAGAGGAGATTTATGTGGGCAATGGGGAGAGGTGAGAACAGGGGGTTTGAGGAGAATCGAAGTATGGAGAAAAATACGATGGAAGATGGGATTGAATACGGATGAACTCACTGTCGGCGTCTGAAGTAAACCAGAACACTCCAATCCTCAAGAATCGGTTATTCAATAAATGTGTTTTGGCACATCAAACATTCTTCTCATTTTCATTCTCACTCTTTCAAACTTCTCCTCTCTTCAAAAATATTTTTTAATTTCTATAATACCTTTAATCTTTTTTAAAATATATTAAAAATTATATAATTTCCCATTAATACTTTATTTAAAAAATACTTTACTCTTCATTAATATTATATTTTTTAAATACGTTCAAAAACACTTTTAAACGTTTTTTTAATTTAAAAATATCCTTATAATTAATTATTTATAAGAGGATATTAATGTACTTAAAACTTTTAAATTTTTCTTTAAAAAAATTAAGAGTTTCGATAAAAATAAATAAATAAATAAACAATTGCTACACTGAAGAAAATGACCTATTTGCATAAATATCTTCTTTAATTTCTATGTAACGATCCGAAATTTTCTATTTAATTTAAGGTCACTACTATATACGTACCATAAACATTGAATGTCGAAAACTTCATTTAAATTTCATAAAACATAACCTTTATCTTAAAATACAGTCATGGACTTACGTGTTTCAAAAACATCTTTAAAACGACACAACAGAAGACTAAATAAAATAAATAAGTGTTTAAGTTAAAAACATCCTATTCTAGCCTAAGTTTAAGAAAATAAATATCACTATCCTATGCATATGCTATGGTCTCAAGTTGCGATGTCGTTGTCAACTGTACTGGAATGTCTTGTCTTAACATGAAAATGTAGTAGCACATGGCTTGAGTATTTAAAGAAATACTTCGTAAGTGACCCCACTATTGGGGTTAAATGCAAGAACATGTGAATGCAATGACGGAACCTATCATTTCAATTTATTTTCATACGGTGCTGTCATCATAGGTAATTTGGACGTGTACCATATACTCTACACACAGCCCATACGTGCGGGTATGGGCTCACCAGTCAGTTCGCACATCGCTAGGCCACTTCACTTGTCGAGCGAGCATACACTGGGACGCTCCTTAGGTTGGACACCCATTAGAACTAGTAACTGTCACGGTAGCACTATGCAAAACTAACGATCATTGTCCTGCCATTGGATGTATGCGTCTGTACCCTCGTGATGGAATAGGTGAATCCCCCTAAATGCATGAGCAAATATAATGCATGAGGTCCCCAACATTTTTACTTTTATCATTAATGAATATAACCCCGCTATCATTTTTCATGTTTAACATGTCATTTCTCATTTTTCAGTTTACGTATCATACATAATCCTAACGGGGTTACATTTCATTTCATTTATCGTGATATCATGTCATTCATAACATATTGTATACATACAATTTAGAAAACATAACATAACATTCCATGCTTTTAACATGTCGTTTCATAACGTGCAATTCATATAACAATTACTTCAATGATCACACAAAACAATCTAAAATATAACATACCACATCACAATATATCGTATCATAAACATGTCATATCGTAAACACTTCGTGGTCACATCGTTCCCTAACTTATCATAGTCTTAACGTTCTTATACCTATCATAATCATATCGTTACATGAACGTACCTTAGTCATGTCATCACAGGAACGTATCTAACCCTATCGTTCTATCAATCTATCACAAACTTATCCCTTTCTACCCATATCCTAACTATATTCTTTCATCAATCTTCCCTATCCATAGCACTCCGGTATGTAACCTAACCTTAACGTTTCATGAACGTATCTTACTCCTATTGTTAGATTTTTGTGCATCATTCTCATATCCTATCTCAAACATATCTTTGAACACGTTGTACCATAATTATTATCCTACAATCCGCGTACTGATTCACAGATAATTCACACATATCAGTATATATGACATGTGTAAAACCACAGGCACATGTCAACATCAAATATAACCATGCCTATAGTAAGGCCACTTACCTGGCTAGTTTAAGTCGTTGTCACAATATATCTTTAATGAAAGTTTGATTCTGTCCTTCGAAATCCGAGTCAACATATGTGAGCCCATGACTTCAGTTTCAATTTGAACTCTATAACATTATCTCTCTAATCTACCTTGGTGCCTTGTTAAAAGTCTTATATATAATGTTATCTTCACTAAATATCCTATTTTCTATTATTATTGTGTAGGGAATATATTGTTACTAGATAAAATTTATGGAGTTTCCTGTCCTATGATATTTAGGATTTTATTTTTAAATTCGGTTCACCAAATCTTTCCTCAATCTTCCTTCACCTCTGATTGTATAAATAGATTTTCATTCTCTATACATTTTCTAAACATATATTACTTTGATTATTACAGGATCCGGTAAAGTAGGAAGGAAGATTTAATCTAGGATTTTACCATAACAACAGACAAAAATCTCTCTACCTATCATATTCTTCGGTTGAAAAACCATTTTACCTTTTCTAAAATCTCATTATCTTGGTTTCCAACATTACACCTCATGCATTATGATGTCATCCTAGGACAACTTGGGCATCTTGGCTTGCTCGAACATGTCTATTGTGAATTGACCCATGTGTCGATCATATTAGCGGAACATCCTGAACATCCATCCATCTAGGCTCTACTGGGACATGAATCCTCCCGTATCCATACCATGTCATTGACGAATTTTGTATCAGATAACAAGTGCATATACCAACCTCCAATACATGAGATGGGATACAATGTCGGCACACCCATGTTGTTCGATAATGTCCTTAAAGACTCATTTAAAAGGAAGTCACTCGAGATGCTCGTCTCGTAATGCTTGCCCACACTATGACACACATATGTGCCACTAGTTAGCTCTCTCAGACCATAGGGTCTAGGAGTGGTGGAGAGCTAACATCATGTCTCCCCATATATTACATTTTGAGACATTTCTAATCTTTCTAGAGTAGACGTGATTTTGGCAAGTGGTCACATAGTCTCATGGAGCGTCTATCAGGTGTCCGATTAACACCAAATTTGACGAGCTTTCATCTTTCATATAGAGGGACTTAACTTTAGAACCGCATACCAAAACTCAAATCGAAATCTTAACTTCTAAGATTATGGCTCGGAGCCCTACTCACCCCTCTCTAAGCTTGTCTTCAACACTCGTGTCACCTCGTTCTCTCCAACCTTTCTTATATTTGACCTTAGCTTTAATGCACGCTCTTCTTTATAATTCCATCAATTATGAACATAAATTAGGTAAATTAATTTATACCATAAATTTAAAAATTGTCTACTCAGCAATAATTTTTCCTTTTAATTGATATAATATTAATTTGATATTTTATTATCAACCCTTACAAGTTTGGGCCTAAATTAATTTTGTCCCCATTATTAATATTGTAATAAGAATTATTATTATTATTAATTGAGTTAAGCTGTGAGAGTGGTGATTCATGCCTTAGCCAATTCAATAATGTTTCAATTTGCTTCTAGATATATTGTTGGTTTTTAAATTATTTTTAGGTTTAATTATATTTTGACTAAATTAATATTAAAAAACATCTAAAAATCTAATAGATAATTAAACGTTTTATTAATATACTTCAATGATGACTCAATTCCAAATGAATGATTTGGAATAACTCGCTATGTTCTTAAGTAGAGATGATTAGGGCAAAAATCGTGTTTCACAAGGATTCCACAGGGGTAAACATCGAGACCCCTGTAGAGACGATATCAAACCATTTTGAGCCGATGAAAAATGATGTCTAATTGGGTTCACAAAAATATTACGTCCTAGAATCACCACCCTTCAACGCTACAAGAGACATATTGGAAGAGGTAGAAAATGTTGACTAATGACATCTGGAACAAGAACATCTTCACCACGAAGTAAGTGGAGGAAAAAAAACGTCCTTCTACCCATATGTGATTGATGTTGTATAGACAATGAATATGCAAACAACTCAACTTCAAAATCTTGCATCGTGGAGAAAGGAGAAATATGAAGAGAGATGTGACTATTCTTTTAAATGAAACGGTCCTGATTTACCTAGACAATGATGAAAAATTTATCTAGTGAAACCTTGACATGAGTGAGAACGAATTCGAAGTAGAAAAGCAAACAAATTTGGAGCCAGATAGAACTTTGGTTTAGGCCAACCAAACAAGTGACGTTACTATAGACTTGGTTGGAGGGCTTGTCTAATGTATGACGACACATGCCCAGTGACGTTACTATAGACTTGGTTGGAGGGCTTGTCTAATGTATGACGATACATGCTCAGTGGACCTTGCACGTGTCATTTATATTTTATGTTATATGATGATGTGATGACGTTATTTGATGATGTATATGACGATGTGATGACGTTATATGATGATGTGATGATATTATATGATGACGTGATGATATTATATGATGACGTGATGATGCATAAAAACATGATGATGTAAGATTTATGATGATAAGATGACTTAATATGATGGTATTTCATATTAAGATGATGTGCATGTATTAAATGTCATGATGCACTATAACGACGAGATTTCTAAGACACAACCCTAATTGATGTTAATGATGATGAACGTATGAACGCCAATGTCTGCATGTTATCTAGGATAATGTGTGAATGATGTATAGGGTTGTGTCATAAAAATGATTTAAAGATGAAAACTATAGGGATTTCATGGATTACATTGGGTTACTTTCCCATTTATGATGATTCGTACGAGCGCGTACACGATGATGATAATGATGATTATGCCTTGCATGACACTCAGGGGTCTGCTAACCTCCGAACGTCGCTACGGACAACTAACTCGGCTATGATTGGGTCGTTTGTAGGGAAATACTACACACATCCAATTTGTCTAAACTGGAAGCCACCCCTATGATGGTTTTAACGATAGATCCCTAATCATGAGTTGCATATGTTTGCCTTCTCTGAAGTCACATACGTACGGGGTATTCCTTAAAATACCCAACCCACATGATATTTCTATTTCAGGTAAAGGCAAGAGACTCATGTACGATTGATGATGACATCACAAGTCAAGACTATGACACATGCATTAGATATGTGTATTTATTTTCTTAGACTTCTATTAGAATAAAGTGTTTTTATCCTTAATGTTTATTTATTTTATTTAGAAATTTGTAATGCCGTTTCAAAGACGTTTTCGAACACGTAAGCCTACGACAGTGTTTTATGATGAAATTTTTAAACGTCTATTTTGGCATAAGAGAATATGTTATGATGACGATAACGATTTTAAGTTAATAGCAATCTAGGATCGTTATAGAACCAAACTTCAATAGAGTACACCTCATATATATTTCATTCATGAACATCTAGAAGATATATAGTTGCTTATTTATCTCGATATTATAGAATCATGACTTTTGCCATTTAGTAATTAAATGTATTTTGGAAAACCATGTGTTTTTGGTAAGGGTGAAGGAGTATCCATTTCTTGGCCGTTCCACGGCGTTGATGGGTGGGTAGAAGATGGATAAAAATCTTACGGAATCCAAACGCCTTCTGTTCGATCGTCGCTACGGTTGGGTGTTAGTCGCTATCTCCCTGCCTCGATTGCAGTTTCCTTTCTGTAAATTTGTGATTTGAATTTTGACGATGTTTCCCTTTGTTTCGCAGGATTGATGAATGGAAAGACCCTGCGGAAGAAGCTTTGGCAGGCGGCCGAGGAATGTATGTTTATGTTCTTCATTGCATATATATATCCATCAGTGTTGGCAGTCGTTCTATCTGTTGTTTCAATTTTCAGTTCTAAAAGAACGAGAGAGAGGCTTCTTCTAGCGATTTTTTGGCTTGATTCTTCTTTGTTATGTTTGTTAAGTACATTTGTGCTTCCTAGGTCTCTTCTTGTTTTTGTTTATCGTCTAGTTACCATAGCTTCTTGTTTATTTAGCAGATAATAGCAATTTTAGACTGATCTCTTTATCCTATCTTATCTTTTTAGGTTTTGCATAGTGCCCCTCGCGAAAACTCTTGTTAACTCAGTCACACAGATGGTATGGTTCTAACCTTATCCACTACAGTTCTTGCTGCTGCTGTTATTGTTGTTTTTATTTTATTTTTCTTTGCAAAAGAAACAACTGAGTTAGCTCAAAAGAACTGTGGAAAAAAACTTGGCAATCAATGTTAGGAAACTGCAATTGTAAATGAACTGTGGCTTGATAGAATTTGGGGTTCTTAGGCTGCATTTTTTCAAATGATTTTACACATTTTATGCATATTAGATCTTGTGAGGCATTGAATCTTCAATGTACATAATTATTTGTGTTGTGATTCAGTAGGTAAAGTTAAGTTCAATGACGATTGAGAAGTTTCAAAATCCATTGTTTAATCAGTTATCGAGTGGTCTTAGCTTGGCCTGGTTCGTTAGTTTTGCCTCATTCTGTTCTTTCTTCCTTTTCTGAACCTAGCTCTAATTTTGAGACCGCAGGTCCATGTTTTTGTTATATTTGTAAATAAGATACTCGTTAAGAAGAGTGAAAGAGTTGAATGGAAGCAACCCAAAAAAGCAATGCCCCACCAACCAAGGGGCAACTAAGAGGACAATCAAAATTGCTAGAAGGAGATCCACTTGTTGGCAATTAGGGAAAGAGGAAGATTACAAAAAAAGATTAGATACATGTGCCCAAGTAGATGCATGAAAGCGGGCTAGATCTAGAATATCCTCCTAAGATCCCTCTAACACCCAAAGAACTACTGGCGTCCTTATCTTCTTTGTAAGAACACTTCATGAAATAAAATTCCTATTTGATTCACATTCATTCACTGAATCCTGGTTGCATACAGTACACCAATCGGGGCAAAGAACCATAGCTGAGGATTTCTAGATAATATCAGTGGAGTTAAAATAGAGAATTTTAGTAGTTGATGCAAAAATATTAAAGCATTCTTTATAAGGGCGTGGAAACCTATTCTTTATATTTATAAGGGTGTGGAAACATCTCTTTATCAGACGCGTTTTAAAAACCTTGAGAGGAAATTTGAAAGGGAAAACCCAAAGATGACAATATCGGTTAGCGGTGGGCTTGGGCTTGGACTGTTATATTTTCTTTTTCTTTTTATGAATTGATGATGAATAGTATTAAGAAGCGGGAACAAGCCACTTATTAATCTGCCCTTTCTGTGCAGGGTAGAGTCATTTATCCACCTCATGGCTGCCTAACAGTGAGGTCAAATTAGGTTTATGATCAGTAGTACTAGGAAGTTGGAAAAAGCCACTTATCAGTCCACGCTTTCTACTAGCTACAATCTTTTTTATCTCCCCTCATGTCTGCCTATTGGTGAGACCAAAGTAGGCATTGTTGTGGATTAGATGTTCAGCCTTGGGTTTGATTACGCCTCAGATCATACTTCAATTTAAGGAGAGATCCTTGATAGTGGGTTTGTGCCATTAATAATATGTATCAAATTTCTTTCTTGGATATATCTTTGAGATCAATCGTTCAGAATTTCGGATTATCGTGGGCATACATTAACAGGTTTAAGAGAAGGGTGTTTCATTTTCTTGGGTGCATATAACATGTTTAGTATTCTTAACCCCAATGGACATTAGGCTGCATAATTCCTTCGGTATAAATCATGTAGCAATTTTGGATGTTTTCTGAATAGACAGACTGCTAGACCTCTTACTCGAATACTGGTGATTTTCGTCCCATTGCAGTTTAACATTGCAGCAACATCTGCAGTGAAAGCTCTTGAAAAGCCAGAACTACTTTCACCTCAGGTACTACAAGCTGGTCTCCATGAAAGAGTTGAGAAATTCATGTTGTCCGTACAAAACTCTGCATTCCACTGTGGCTTGCAGAAAACAAATTCTCCTTCTCCCGCCACTAGTTCCTTGGATCTACACGATGAAAGAATGGATCACTGAGTGTAAATGATCCTCAAACACTTGAAACTTGAGGGATTAAGGTAGAAGGAAATTAAATTTGATATGCCTTTTTAGTTTTTCCTCCACTTTCAGACAGTGGTCTGGTTTAGTTTCTCAAAATTTGGCTTAAGTTATATAGAGATATGTTAGTTACAAATAAAAACTAAAAAAGAAAAAAAAAAACTTGTAATATTATGACATAGATATGTTGTTTGTCATCGGTGGTTGCCATGGTTATAAACTCAAATATCAAATATTTATTTGTCACAATTGCATTTTGATGACAATGGTTTTGCGATTGTGTGGCACTCACTTCCCAGTTAAGCATATTCGTTCTTGCGTCGCCCTTGCGTCGCTTGGCCAAACATCGTATACTCGAGCCTCTGACCCCGGTTCAGGAAGAAAGTTTTGAGCAATGGCTTGAAATTGGTGTGGGAATGTAAGCAAAAAGCAATAGCAACGACTTCAAATTGGTGTGGGAATGTAAGCAAAAGGCAACAGCAACGGCTTACTGCATATAATTATTGGATAGGAAGAAGTTGACAACTAGTCATATCTCCCTATGTTTTGGAGCTGACTCAATATGAAATGAGAAAGACCTGTTTAGGATGAAAGCATGTGAAAGGGGTTTGGAACAGGCATGTAACCATGGACAACACGTCCTAGAGAAGCAAAATCGAGATATCGACCATTGACAACACGCCTTGGACATGCATGACCGTGACATCCTTCTCCACTCAATTGGTTGACGTCTCTGTCAACCGACTCAGACAAGCAAGATTGGGACATCTATCACCGTGACATTCTCTGTCAACCAACTCGGTCTAACAAGATTGGACATCTATCGTGATTTTAATTCAACCTAGATTAAAAATGATTAGTTTGGTAATCTGACTAAGTAACAAACATAACCCAATTCCCCTCCTATTATTTTTTAATAAAAAACAATAATCTTGTAGTTATAATATATATTTTTCATTCCCGAAAATTGAGTTATTTTATATGTTCTATATTGCCCCACGTCCATTAATCCCAAATCTCCTTCTCCCTTTTCCCCCCCTTTTTTCATTTCCATCCAATTAATAAAATAAACAAAACAGAGAAAATCACAGCAGCAGAAGAAAAAGGAAAACTTCCTTGTTCTTCCTCTTATCCCACAGAGCTCCATTGATGAGCTGATCAGCTTCCACACAATTCTTCTCTCTTCTTTATGATGCGCGCCCATCTCACCTTATGGCCGTCATCTTCAAACCCATCGCCATATCTTTCTTCTCTCCATTTCTCTCCTCCTCTCTCCTCCTCCTCTTTCCTCTTCAGCTTCACACCCAACAAACGCTTCCACTTCCTCAAGACCTGTTCCTCTCTCAAGCAATCCAAGAAGCCTTCTCTTCAGAAGACCCCCACTACCGCCCCTCAGAGTTTCAAGTGGCTCTTTAGCCCCAAGTCCGACGACGATGACGCCGCCGCCGCCGCCGATAAAGGGAATAAGGACGCCGAGGACGATACTGCTCTTAAGGGTACCCTTTTGGCCGGTGTGTTGCTTCTTGGGATTATTGGTGGATTTGCATTTGCTGGTTATGTTTACAAGGATCCGATTAATGCGTTCTTGAATCAGTTCTCCACGTTTATTGACGGTAATTTTGCGATTGTTTATGGATTTTTGTTGTTTTCTGTTTTTAGTTTTGAATTTGGGAGTGGATTGACTATCATTGTGCTTGTTCTTCGTTGCTGTTTGAATTGGTCGTAAGTATGACTTGTTTTATAGGCTTCCCTTCAGTTTTCTTTTAAAACTACGCTGAATTTCTGGAGTTATTTTGAAGTTCATACTGTTACTAAAAAGGAGAACAGCTGAATGTCTTGAAACACCTATAGTGTTTGGAGTTATATGATTGTATCCTACTTTTCTCTTGTACTTCCATGTTTATTCTGTTTTGGTTTTAGCTTTCAAACCTTCTGCTTTAGTCTTTGAACTTTGCATAATAATCATCTTAGTCTTTTTCATTAACTTTCTGAACTATTTAGTAGGAACTTGTTTAACCAGTACATTACTACATAGAGATAGAATATTTGTGGAACTGGACTTCAATCCTCGGATGGAAGAATCAAACAGTACCTTAAGAAAAGTTGCTACAAAAAGTCTACTATCCTAGATTATGAGTTCACCCCTACTACTGCAAAGTTACAAACTAAACCATACACTCCAAAGAAGCAATCACGAGAGAAGTGAGTAACACTCGTGGAAGTGCTCCAAGAGAATTGAACACGAAAGAGGCAAGCAATGCCTATGGAAATTCTCCAAGGGTATGCATGAGTTATGTGCTTTCTGGCTTCAACTGACATATGTGTTGACAAAAGAATTTTATAGCTACCGACCTTCCACTTAATCAAATTTGTTCGGAGCCTTCATTACTGCCATTCTTCCGCCTTAACCAAATTTATTCGGAGTCTTAATAGCTACTGTTTTGACAAATTTATTTAGAGCCTTAATGGCTATAGTTGACAAATTTATTCTGAGCCTTAATGGCTACTATTGACAAATTTATTTGGAGTCTTCATGGCTACCGTAGACAAATTTTGTCGGAGCCTTCATGGCTACCATCGACAAATTTATTCGGAGTCTTCATAGCTACCGTTGACAAATTTATTCGGAGTCTTCTGTAACATAGCATCATTACCAAATAAAAAGGGATAGATATTCAATGGCTGGGGAGGTCTCCATTTGTGTGAAGGATCTCTCTCAATCATGCAATTCATAACATTGAGCTTTTGATGAACAGGATATGGTCCAGCAGGATATGCTTTGTTCGTAGCAGTGTATGCAGGATTGGAGGTACGCATATTTTTGCTTTAATACATGTATCTGGAATTTTCCTTTTACATCTATAGAGGTGGGCTTTGTGGTGAGGGCTTGGTATGGGTGGCGTAGGGATGTCGCAGTTGGAGAACATAATAGTTTAAAATCTCTGTAGTTTATTGTCTACTTCAAAATGGTATCAGAGCTAGGCACCAGGTGGTGTGCCAGCGATGACGCTGGGCCACCAAGGAGGGAGGATTGTGAGATTCCACATCGGTTGGAGAGGGGAACGAAACATTCCTTATAAAAGTGCGGAAATCTCTTCCTAACAGATGCGTTTTAAAATCTCGAGGGGAAGCCCAGAAGGAAAAGCCCAAAGAAAACATTATCTGCTAGTTGTGGGTTTGGTCTATTTTAGGTCTTATTTTGAAGGATGGAACCCTTTTTTGTATAGTTATCTGTTTGTCTCCTTAGGTGTGGGTTGGTTTTTTTGGTATGCTTATGTTCCATTTCTTTTGTATGTCAATGAAACGTGATTTATGGAGCTGGGTTCATGAGCACAATACAAGTAGTGGACGATACTTTTAGATGAGTTGAGAGGGATCATAGTGTCATGTGGTCTCTTGTGAGGTTCTATCAAAGATATCCCTTCGCAGGAACTTGCTACGAACAGGGTGGAATGGGGAGGGAGCGTAGAGAGTTTTCTCCCCGTTCTAAATAAAAGTGTGTACCAATGCTTTTATGGTACAAAAGTACCACGCTTGCTAAGATCCATAACCTTTATGCTGAAACTAAGGATGGTATCGGTTTCAACATTTTCTATCTTGTTATGAAATTTATGGGTTGTTTTTTCCTTTCTAGATCCTTGCTATTCCCGCCATTCCATTAACAATGTCAGCTGGACTCCTGTTTGGCTCTGTAATTGGGACGGTTATAGTTTCTATTAGTGGAACGGTGAGTGATTTGTTCAAGTAAAACAAACAGATGGAATAGCATATGGCCGCTAATTATCAGCTCATTGTCTCCAAATATTTCAGGTTGCTGCAAGTGTTGCCTTCTTGATTGCTCGGTATTTCGCTCGTGAGCGTATTCTTAAGCTTGTAGAAGGAAACAAGAAATTTGCTGCCATTGATAAAGCCATTGGAGAAAATGGTTTCAAAGTAGTCACCCTCCTACGTTTGAGCCCTTTGCTTCCATTTTCTCTTGGAAACTATTTATATGGACTCACATCTGTCAAGTTTGTCCCCTATGTGTTAGGAAGGTCAGTTTTCAATTCTCAATTAATCTTACAAAGTTTAGCTTTTGTTCCTGACGTTTTTGATTCTCCTTGAATGCAGTTGGCTGGGGATGCTCCCGGGAACGTGGGCTTATGTGAGTGCGGGTGCGTTTGGACGAGCAATTCTTGTAAGTTTCCAATTTGGTTCATCCCTTAAAGATGATTTGAATTCTTAGTTGAGTTTATGATCTTTCATTTCTATGTTTCTGAGTTGTCATGTTTATTGTCCAGTTTGTTTTCCGCCGTTAATTTTACTTGGGATGTTTCAGCAAGAAGAATCTGAAGTTGGTTTGCTAGGAGGAGGAAATGGTCAGCAGCTATGGACTCTGGGACTCGGATTGTTGGCAACGGCGTTTGCTGCTGCATACGTTACACGATTAGCCAAGGTAACGTCACTTTATCGTGTAAATACTTGCCCTTTCGAGTATACTTTCCCACTGATACCACGAAATCAATCAATGCAATGCATGTATAAAATCTAGTTAAATCTGAAATGATCATGATCATGTTAGAGTAGTGTAAGAGTCCAAGCCTACCGCTAGCAGAAATCGTCCTCTTTGGACTTTTCCTTTCAGGCTTCCCTCAAGGTTTGTAAAACGCGTCTGCTAATTAAAGGTTTCCACACTCTAATAAAGAATGTTTCGTTCTCCTCCTTAACTGATGTGAGATCTCACAATCCAACCCCTTTGGGGCCTAGTGTCGCCTTATAAAGAATGTTTCGTTCTCCTCCCTAATCGATGTGGGATCTCACAATCCAACCCCTCCAAGGCTTAGTGTTCTCGCTGGCACTCGTTCCCCTCTCCAATGGATGTGAGATCTCACAATCCAACCCCTCCGGGGCTCAGTGTTCTCGCTGGCACTCATTCCCCTCTCTAATCGATGTGAGATCTCACAATTCACACTCCTTCGAAGTCCTCTTTGACACTCGTTTCTCTCTCCAATCCCTTTGGGATCTCACAAGTAGTTTATAAGTTGATAAGTTTATGTCAATCTAAGCATAGTTCAGTTAGTTAAAATATATATCTTCAATCGAGAGATTAGAGGTTAGCATTCCTCCACACCATAATGTTATTGAACTCAAAAGAAAAATGGACAAATTCATAACCTTAGTCCATTCCTAATTTAGATTAAACAAAACTACTATTTATTTTTTTCCATTTAGAAGCTAGACCAAATAAAGTTATCATGGAAAACTTCAGTGATTGGGCTTGCTATCATGCATACAATCACATTTCCTCTCTGTTTTCTTTATGTGTTTGGTTCCAAGGATAAGTTGTGAATTCAAAAGCCCGAAGTCATAGTTTAGGATACCAAAATTTTTAGTGTTGATATTAAATGTTGTAGGGATCAGAAAGCCGTTCCTTTATATTATTCAGCATTCACGTAAACTAGACTAGATGAGTGATGATAGGAGTGAATATTCAAGATATTGAATGTTCTACGGCTGATCCATACTGTAATACTAGAGTCATTTTATGATATTGATCAGAATACGTGTAAACTGAGTAGACAGGTAGAACTAGATATTTCATGGCTGTCAATATAAAAATGCTATTGGATTAAGCCATCTTTTCACAAGATTAGTCAAGACACATGTAAACAACTATTATGATCGATTGTAATGTTATTGCAGGATGCTATGAAGGATATTGAATAGACATGTCCCCTTGAGGAATGTAGTAGGTATAAATTAAAATTCATAATTGAATTTTTGAAGAAATTGGCTAATTCTCTGCATATTTTGTATTTGTCCAATTAAAAGAGAGGCCCTGCTCTTCCTGCTGCTCATAATGTACAATATTTACCATAATCAATATAATTAACTAATCTCTAATTGTAATCTTAATATACTAATTTTCTAACACTAAATTCATACCTAACCTTGAAATATGGATTCTACTACCGACCGTTCTGCAAAATTGATCGTCACTGGAAAGCAAGATAATGGAGGACAAAATTCAGTATCCTGCAAATGAAATGAGAAATTAATCGCTTGGGATCGCGAATCTGAGATCTGAGATCCAAACGGAAAGAAAGCAAATCAATCGCAGATTATTTTCTAGGGTTCAAAATCTATCCAAATCGAGAACAGAATCGGAAGCAATGTACATACAGTTTCAAGGCTCAGAATCTTGCGTTGGAGACGAATTGAGAGTGAGCGATGACAATCCAACAGTTGCAGGGCTTCTTAGTTGATCCAATTGTTTGTCACCTCGACGAAGAAGGTACTCAATGTAGATGAAATTCTTGTGATCGATTAGCTTGGCGTTTCGGCGGAACTCGGCGGAGACAACCGATTCAATCCCTTTTCGATCTTCGGCGGATTTGGAACGAGCTGCTCGGAGAAATGCTCTGTATAAACTGAGCACTTGCATTTGCATCCCTGAGAGCTTTGGCGCCGATGAAACCCCCATTGAACTTCTACTACGTAGTTGCTTCTCTCGATATTCTCGGTACCGCTTGAACATTCTGGCAATATTATTCTGAAACACTTTTGCATGCATGGATTAACGTGGATTGTAGGTTAAAAACTTGTGATAAATATCGATTTGTACACGTCACGATGGTTTACATAATCACAAGTCATTAATTGTTCGTGAAAATTTGTGGCAATTATACATCTTTATGCATGATATTTGTGCAACCATTTTGTGATTTAACCGGTAAAACTACTCATTTATTTACGGAGGAATGGTTCTAATTTTGTACAGTTTTAGGGTTTGTAGGTTGCTTATGATATTATAAGCATGAGTGTGATTTTAGGGTTTGTAGGTTGCTTATAATATTATAAGCATGAGTGTGATTTCATGGCAAGGCTGCAAACCCCATCATTTCTCAATACGACTTATTAATAGATAGTATGTAAATTTTTTGTTTTGTATTGTGTTTTGCGATAGATATGATTAGGCTGTGTGAAAGATAGACAAACTTTATATGATAGAATAGGAAAAAGACATTGATAGAAACTTGAGTTTTAATGTAGTAAATATTGAAGACACGTTTTTGTGTGCAGTGAGAGGTAAGTTAGGCAAGCTAGACAGATATGCAAGAGCTTAAATGGACACAATAGTAGGTGTCCCATCCGTAAGAGCAACTTTAAGAATCAAGACATCCCTAGGACGTTGGCATTTGTGAGTGCTCCAAACTATAGTTGTTGGATGTCACGATCATACATTTTCAACCGTGTGACAATGTGATCTTGACACGCTTATAACAAGTTTTGAGGGGAATCCAAGCTCCATATTCATTTTTTGCTTGTCTTTTTAGCTTCATTGCACCTTGAGTGAGGTTTATGTTAGGCAACCAAACACAGTTTTGTGCGGAATCCAAGTTTGTTTGCCACACAAGCTGCCTATGCGTGCATGTTCAATCTTCTACGACTCAATTGACTTGCTTCTACACTAGGTCAAACCATTATTGTCGATCTTACATCTATTCGGGATCAAGGTCTCTCATGTACAACGTCGCATCTCATCATATCATCTCGATTCCCGATCAAAATGGTCCACATGTCTTGACATCATCTCAAGTCCCGGGATGTCATTGTCCATCATATGCTCACTTGATCATGATCATTGAGAACGGACCCATATGTAGTTCATGTCATGGGGACATCCCGAACACCCATCCATCTATATATCGAGGCATTGGACCCTCCCGTATCCATGCTAGTTCATTTACAAAATCTGCTCCAAATAGCAGATGTTAATCCAACTTTCGTCACATGCGCATGAACGCAATATTGGCACACTCATCTTGTAACGCTTGCCCTCACTATGACACATGCATGTGGTATAGGGTAACTTGTTTAGGCCACATAACTCAAGGTGATGAAAACCTGACACCATGTCTCTTCCTAATGTGCATTTTGAGGCATTTCCAATCTCACCGGTGTAAACATGATTTTCGCAAACGATCATGCAGTTTTCGTAGAGTGTTCATCTAATATCCGATTGACACCAAATTTGGTGACCTATCATATTTCATATGAATAGAGCCCAAATACCCTCAAGAACCTCACTTTTGAGGTCAAGGCCTGAGCCCTACCTAACCCTTCAACGAAGTGCCTGTCTTCAACACTTTTGTCTACTTTTTGCCCCTATCTTGCCTATCATCATCTTCTCTTCAATGCCCACTTTATGCAGTATGTTGGATGATACATCGTCTTCTTGAGTCACATCATGACACTCGCGTGGCTGGATGAGCGCCACTTGAGGGTTGTCACTTATCTTATCTTGATGTGAGGGTCACAACCGACTTTTTTCGTAGTATGGTTGCGACATTCTTCCACTTAAACTAATTATCGTCCTTGATGACTTTTACGGGGGCACAATTACTCTATGGATTGTGATACTCTCTCCCACTTAAACTCGGTATCGTCCTCGATGACGATCCAACTTTGAATTGGCTACTAAAGGACCTGTTGGAAATACGTACTCTCCCCCATTTAAACTCGGTATCGTCCTCGATAACGATCCAACTTCGGATTGGCTGCTAAAGGCCCTATTAGAAATACGTGCTTTAGAATGAATACAAAAACGACGCACGTACTTATGAAATTATTCCACTGTTGACCCTTCTTTTATTCTCTGATGAAATAATATCTTATTCAAATCATTCTTTGATGTATTAAGATATTTCAATATATATTTAACTAATTTGGATCTCATTAAAATGTATAATTTTATTTAATGCTATCTCATATACATTAATTATATTTTAATACGTAATGTATCACTACCATAAACATATTTTTATCTTTTAATATATATAATATACTAAATATTAATTTGAGCACTTCGAAATTACATATTTTTTTCTCATTTATATTCAATATATTTAATATATTAATATACGGTTCAAATTAAATCAATTTTATCTTCTATATTTAATATATTAAATATTAATTTTAATCTAGTGTTACTATAAGCTAAAAATGAGATATAAAAAAAATAATTAATTAATCTCTTCACTATAGACCTATAATTAAATTATTATGTACGATAGGATAAATTGTCTCCATTGGTATAATAATTACAAGCAAGTCGATCATTCATGAATTGTTCGTAATTATAGATGGGTCAAAAGTAATTTTTACCCAGTAATTACATCTTTTACTTTAAATATCATTGATTCTCTAATGAATAATTTATCTATGATCTAATCATAAACCAAGTCATTCTTGTGTCTGAGGGGGCAGGACCTTATTGTTCAAGTCCTGAAATCAGCACTTAGAACTACTCATCTACTTACCCCTATATGGGAAGGATTGTATTACATCTTGTGAAATTATGTTCCTATCTCCATATTTGATAAAATCCCCAAAAATGGTAACCATATTGAATGGGCTACAAAAGGATAAACTCTCACACACAGAAGTTCATTACTCATTTAGGATTAAGATCGAGTTGCATATGATTATCGTGTGAAATATTAATCTTCTCAACTAACAAATTTATAAATATATATTAAATATTTCGTAGTCTAGTGTCATGACCAAAAAAAAATTAACCTCAAGTCATGACTAACAATGACTATGACGTGTAGTGTGTATACAAGAAATTCAAAGGAAAACATTATTTCAAAAATGAATCATTTATTTCGTAAGGAAAACATTTCAATCCAAAGAGGACATATGTGACTAGTTATAGACAAGGAAAGAAAACATGAAGGACAAAGTGTACTAATCACTAAGACTGGACTGACGACCCGGGACATGCTTCCTTTGTGACAACCCACATCGTTCAACGCGCCCTCTCTTGACTCGACGCCACACGTACCTAAAAAAGAAAGGTATAGCAAGAATGAGTATAAAATTATATTCAGTAAGTCATCTACTTGTAGACCCTTAACGCAACCTAATCTTAACAAACTCTCACGAACTCTACTTTAGCTCTAGGACATCTAGTTTTCGTTTTAGCTCCTTGGGGCTTGCCCCTTGTAGCTTCTTGGTTCTTTGTTCTTTCATTTAAAAATCCTTAAGAGTTCCCTTATGCCGACCTGTGTAATGACTGGTGCCCTATGAGTAGCTACCTCGACATGGCTCTAAGACTATCTGGTATCATACCTAGGAAGTGAGCTGCAACCCCCTAGGTCCATGACAGTCCCCTTGGTCGGGGAGAGCTACCCCCCTTAACCCATCTAGCTAAATGGTCTATACGACGTGGGCACACGTTTTCCATGCTAAAACGGCTAAGAGCAGTCCGATTCTGATCAGGAACCCCCTGTTCCCCCACGAAACTATGACACCAATCACACACATATAGCCTAAGGGCACTCTAGTGAGGGTTCGTATGTCGTGGTGGTCTGTTACACTACTAGGGGAAAAGTTAGGTCTATACCTTAGTGACTTGTCGCTCTAACCACAAATCCTGACTTTACCATACCTGTGGGTCATGAAAATTAATTGAGTGTGCACACAACTATTATTCAGCATCATCATACAAAATTCATGCAAAATACACATACATGCTCAACGGGGTGATAACATCCATCAATCAGAGTTCACAAGTTCCCATACTCCTTTCAGCATGAATTATTCATATACATATAAAGCGGAAGCTTAAAACATAATAGCAATACTCAGATAATTCTCATATTATTTCACATAATAGATCCTTGCTCTTAACAATCAAATACCTACATTCAATCACGTGAGGCTACCACCTAAGATAATTAAACTAGCATGCATGCATTCCAAGCAACTCCTACAAGTATTTCTCCCTAAAGTTTCAGGTGGTGACTTACCTGGATGATACGTGCCGTTACGCAGCATTTCTACACAATTAGCATATCGAAAAGTAGTGATTTTTCCTCAATTAGATCCTATTTCAGTTAGGATTGGATTCAGGAGGAAAATAGGGAAAATAGAAGTCGAACGGGATGAAAACAGGCTTACACGCGTTTCCACGTGCCGGGACAAGGTCACTTGCAGGTTCCACGCGTGAGTGTCACGTGCACACAATTTTCTGCAGCTACGGGTCATCAGTTCGGTTCGGGTGGACTGCAGGTCGGGTTGTGTGGCTGGGGATGCGTGTCGTTAGAAGGCTGGAGCCAAGTCTTCCCAAGCGGCGTTCAATGCATGTCCGGTGGTTGTTGGCGCATGCGGTCCTCTTGCTGGTGTCGTGGCGTGCCGTCGACTTCTCTCTCCTACTAGCAGAAAAACAAGGTTTCCGATGTTTTTCTCATTTTTCTATCTCTCGATTCTTAATCTAAACCGTAATGACTTCTTCAACAAAGTCTTAGATCATACTACAACCTACGTGCCAATATTTTTTTTCTTGATTTTTACTTAATCATACGACGAGTTATGAGCGTCGGAAAGAGGTCCGATAACATCCTTACCGTTCTTGGAAACATTTTCAGATCTCGACGTTTTGTTCGATTTCCTCACAAAATCTTCCCTAGATGAAGGTAGTAAACTTTAACACTCTATTCGCAAACGAAGATCTCAGATCTGAAGAGTAACGTTAGAGATCTTACCTTGCGAATTTCTCGTGTCTTGACGAAAGAAGGAACCTCAACAACACGAGTCTTTCTTCTCTCCAAGTAGAAACTCTAGAGTGTAAGTCTCGGTAGTGGATGAATTTCGTTGGTGATTCTCCGACGAGGACTCCGGCGATTTACCTTTCCTCTCAAGTTTTCTTTCGACTTCCCTCACACTTTTTTCTTTTGCAGGTACTCTGTCGAGAATCCTCAAGACCCCTATAATGGGTTGAGGGGTAAAATGCCCATTTTGCCCCTTTGACTGACTTTATTTTTTTATAGCATTTTTTTTAAGCATTCCATCTAGCCTTATACAAACTCATTGTATAAAATACCCTCAATCACATGTCTCCACATGAACGATTTGGATCAAATTATTTATAATAATTACAAAATGAGCTGTATCACAGGGTTAGTGTTATTGGGATAAGACACCCAAACTTATCTATATACTTTGAACCAATTGAGTTATTAGTCGAAAAGATGGTTCTCCCGTAATGGAACTTAAGAACCCAACTATGAGAGAGACCTGACTATCGTCTATAGGCCCATTGGACCATACCTAAAGCTACTCCAGAAGAATATCGGTAAAAGAAAAAAGCCCAATTGGGCCCATTGGACTGAGGAGAGCCCACTTACGAAGTTAGCCCTAAAATTTGGGCAAATCGAGAATATGTCTGGCTTTAGCAATTCCCTATATAACATGTCCACAACCCACGGCCACGTCTTCAGATCATATCCTTTTTTTTTTCTCTCTCTCACTATCCTCTCATCTGAACCCTAGCATCGATCTCCCTCACCACCGAGGGCTTTTCGACACTACTTCAATACGTCTTTCCTGCTCACCACCATGGCGGAGGAAGTCGTTGTAGCTACCGGAGCGGCGAGTCCCGAGCCCTTGGATCACAAACGCAAGCTTGCAGATTTGGACAATGAAGCCACTGAAGCCCCCGAGGAGAACCATGGCGAGCCCAATGAGGAGTCTCCTGCTTCTGACGACGCTGACGTTGCAGTTTCTGACGAATCGGAGGCCAAGCGGCCTCGTCTCGACGGAAAGCCGGAGGAGAATGGTATCTTCTTTCTTCTTTGTATGTTGCAGCTTTCTATGTGATTTAGGCCTTTTGTTAAAAACCATGGAAATATCGGATGTATATTTGTGGACTTTCTCCATCTCTCTTCGTTACTTCTTCTAATACTTGTTAGCTGCTGCCGGAAAATGCTGTGGTTTTCCTAGTGCATAATTTTTTTTCCCCTCAAACCATATCCCTGGAAGTCGAGAAGCGTAAGAAATTCTATTTTCTACTGCTGCTTTGGTTATATTTCAAATATCTTCGTTCCTCGTGATTTCTGCAAGGAAATCCAACTTTATTCTTCAAGGTTTAGAACTGAATAATACTTTCCTTCCCAACGCCTCATGAGATAGCTACTGGTGCTGCATCTATCAACTGGAATACGCCAGATATCCAGCTAGATATGCCTATTTGCATTTTACTACCTCATTTCAGGCGTGAGATATTTTTAACACACTGAAGTTCTATGGTACTTGAACGTTGTTTCTGTTCTGAGCTTCCTGGGGCTTGGTGAATGCCGTTTATCCTGTTTCCCATTGGAAGATGGAAGCATTAGTTCAACAAAGGAAGTACCGGCAGGATTCTTAGGTTCAGGGAGAACGTTCTGACATGTGCCCAACAAGTATTTGATACATATTGAATGTCTTTAACAATTTTTTAGTAATGTCCAACTAGTGTCCTAGTTTGATGCGTTAATATGTTCTTTAAAAATCATTTCTGGCTGATTATGCTAGATTTATAATTTGAGTTTTGGCATTGGATTATGGTTATGAAGGTTCTTCGGTGAGGTACTGAGGTGGATTTCTTAACGAAAGTTCAACTCATTTTTGCTGTGTTCATTTTAATTTACTATTTAACCAATTGATATTCAATCAATGTTTCATGGAAGTAGTATATTATTATTTATTCTTGTTGCAAATTACAATATCTTAGTATTTTGCTTTCTTCTACAGCTAGTGAGAATGGGCATCAAAAAAAGATGGTGGAGGAACCGGCTAAGGAAGATGATACATCTGAAGAGGACTCGGAACATCCTGCTTCATTGGAGGAGGTTTCTGAAAGAGAGGAAACTGAAAAACCCACTGCAGAGCCTAATGAAGCAGGTGATGCTCTGGATTCTGCGGAGGAAACAGAACAACCTGCTTCATTGGAGGAGGTTCATAAAAAAGAGGAAATTGAACAGCCCACTGCAGAGCCTCATGAAGCAGGTGGTCCTCAGGATTCTGCTGCAGAAATCTCTCAGGAGGACAAAACTCAAGAACTCTCCAAGGAGGAAAATCAACCTCCGGTAGTTGAGGCTGCATTGCCGCTGCAGCAGGAGGATGGTTCTAATTCTGAGCATGTTCAATTATCATCAGTGGCCGAAACAACAGCATACAGGATGGAAGTTCCTAATAGTAAGGTGTGAACTTGTGAGATATTTAAATTTGATCATAGGATTGATATTGAAGGTTGATGTTGAGTTTATTTACATGTTTTTTAAACAATATGTTTCCACCTTCAACCTCAAGTTACTGATTAATTTCTTTTTTAGGGTTAAATTACAATTTTTTCATGAGCTTTTGAAGTGGTATCTGAAAAGTTCCAAATTTATTTTGTGTCTGATGGTCCCATCAGACACAAAATAAATTGTTTATAGATGTTAGTCAGTTCTTAAGTATTAGGGACCTATAGCATACTTTTTAAAGTTAAGCCTTGTTGGACACAACTTTGAAAGTTTGAAGACCAAGCTTATAATTTAACCTAATCTTTTGACGAAAGCTATGCTGCAAGTGTAGTGGCTAGGTGGCTAGAATACTCGTAAGAAAACATGGCCTGGATGTTGAAAAATTTACTTCTAATCCATCATCAAGTTTTTTCTGATAATTAGCATTTAGTTAATAGTTGGCCTATTTACTGCAGGTTGGTGTTCTCATTGGCAAGGCTGGAGATACTATTAGATACTTGCAGTACAATTCTGGTGCTAAGATCCAAATCATGAGGGATTCAGATGCTGATCCAAATCGTTTAAGTAGACCTGTAGAAATAGTTGGATCTTCGGAAAGTATAAAAAAGGCAGAGGAGTTAATTAATGCTGTGATTGCAGAGGTATTTACTCTTTTTATTATTAGTTTTTATTTAAATGCCATTATGCTTGTATTTTTTCCACTTCTCCTGATTTTTTTCAGTGACTGTAATAATTTTCATTTAATTATTGTTTTAGCATCTGTTGGAGGTTTGTTGTCCTGATATTGAATTATTGAGTAAATTTTATTTTCTCATAGGCTGATGCTGGTGGATCTCCATCACTCATAGCCAGGGGCCTTACTTCATCACATTCTATGGCAACTGCCGAACAGATTCAGATACAAGTTCCAAATGAGAAGGTTGGAATCCTAATTTATGTGGATTGCTTATCAACTGGTTCTCTCAATAGCTTACCTGATTTTCTTTACCTAGGTTGGTTTAATTATAGGAAGAGGTGGGGAGACTATCAAAAGTCTGCAGACCAGATCTGGTGCACGTATACAGGTAGTTGATATGTTGCAAACCTATCTATCTTTATGGTACATGCTAATTAATTTTTATGGTTTAATATAACCATTGTGCCTGACTTAGATCTGATTTTTATGTAGTTGATACCCCAAAATCTTCCAGAAGGAGATGAATCTAAGGAAAGGACTATTAGAGTTACTGGTGATAAGAAGCAGATTGAAATTGCTACAGACATGATAAAAGAAGTTATGAATCAGGTATGCTTTTAACACATCACCTTTCCTCCAGACATTTTGGTCCTTATATCCCTAAATCCTTACTTGGAATTATGACTTCGATTTTCTGTATCATAAAAATGCTCTTAGCATGTTCATATCATCTAAATTTAGCCTGTGCTTACTTTTATTAATTTTTGGATTTGAATTATTAGTATGTTCTTTCTGTACCATACACAAGTTCATTCCATGAATATGGTTCATTCTTGGTGATATATCTATTTATATGTTCATTTCTGTATGTTTTTTTTTAATTATTTTCAGCAGTTTTGCTATTATTGGTACTTAATCTTGCTTACAAGTCTTGTCTGAGACTAGAGATTAAGGTTCTGAAGTAACAGCGTTAAGATTATCACACAGATTAATCTGCTCAGTGTCAGAGAAGCAAAATATTAGCATCTATATGCTATATTATATAGTTCTAGGTGTGGAAGGTGTGTTGTATTTTTGTCCACTTGATGTCATTGATGGAACAGTGCTAGATTCTTTTCATTCATGCTGGTTGACTATATAAATTTGGCCGGGTTTAACAATTCACTGCTATGGGAAACAGTATGCAGATTTTGTATGATTTTCTTTAATGGGATTGGGGAAATCACTTGACTGGTGGTCCTAATAGCTTGTGAAATCAATGAATGGTCTATGCAAAGATCACATGAATGTTCTAGGAAAGATCTTATACTGAAATCCAAGATGCCGGTTGCCATAATTTATCTATCATAAAGGTGTCAAACTCGAATTGGTTGGCTTTAAAACTGCAGATTACAATATTGCCTTTTCCATGGGGTCGACATTGCTTTCTTGGTGTAGCAATAGCCAACTACTTTTCACTCCCATCCACTGAAGAGAGGTATCAGGCATTAAATCTCGCGATTGCAGGATGTTAATAGTTGGTAAGATTGCTTCAAGATTTCAAACTAAGAATAATTGAGTAAGAATGTATTGCATTAACCTTAGTGCTCATTAGTGGACCCATGTTCTATGCTTGAGATTGTGTTGGAAGAAAGTAATGCCTGGTTGAAGTCATGATGCTTTCATTTGCATGGGACCAATAGTATTCAAAGCTGATACCATTGACTGAGGCATCATAGGCATGGAAATTTGGTTCATGCCACCTTAACTGCACTATAGCAACATAATCGCTTTAAACTAACGGCAATCAATATCAATGTAATTATTTGTTGATATTTTCCTTTTTTCCTGGATGATCTGTCTGACAGTGAAATGCTCATCATGTGTTGGTCACTACTTCAGAATGAAAGAGATAAGATTTAGTTGTGAAGTTGATGCCGGTATATCTGGCATCTATTTAGAAGAATCACTATCTATTTGATGAAACAGAACAATGCATGTGTGAGATGCCAGAGTTCAAATGTTAATCTCTCTCAGACCATGATTTTGTCATCACTAGACTTTTTCTGCGCTTTTCATCCTTTTCCTAAAAAGCTTTTCAAGTTTGTTAATGTTTTTATGATTTGAGGGCATGTTTTGTTAGTTGTAATTTGACTACTTCACTACACAACCTTTCGAATTATTTGGGCAGTTGTAATTGGCGGCTCTCTTCTTTTTAACTTAGAAGTGGGTGCTCCCTGTTCTGATATTATGAATGCTTTTGGATATCTTACATCCCTGTTGAAGTACTTGTTCCCTTGCATGCAATGGTTTAGAGCGATATAATACATCTGGTATTTTATTGGTTTGATCTTCAATGATATGATCTATCTGTTATTTTCTTTGTTATAAAGCCTTTTTACATTTTATTTCTTCTGAACATCAGAATGGTAATTTGCTGAGTTTGTAATGTTTTTTATTCATCTTGCTTATTTTCTGGAGCTAATATGTACCAGGGGCTCACCCAATGTTCTTGAGCAAGAGATTTGGATCACCAAGTTCACGCTGCTCATTTACTTTATTCCTTTTACTAGCTTATAATCAAACTGTTGATTAATAATTTCCACGGTTTACTTACTCATCTTTTTGTTTGTCCTTGGAGTAGACTGTGAGGCCTTCACCACACTCCACTGGTTTTAACCAACAGGCTTACCGGCCCCGTGGTCCTGGTGGTAATCAATGGGGTCAACGGGGTCCCCATCCTTCACATCCTGCAGCATATGATTATCCACACAGAGGACCTTATCCATCTCATAATACCCAGTATCAGCATCCTGCATTTGGAAACTATCCTCAACAAATGGGTGGTCCTCGGAGCAGTTATAGCTCTGGTTGGGAGCAAAGGCCACCCCCCAGTATGCAAGGGCCACCGCCAAGTTCGGGTGGTTATGACTACTATGGTGGAAGAAGCCATTATTCAGATGCTCCACCTTCTCATTTCCCTGGTGCTATGCCTGCACATGCTCCTGGCCCTTCTCCTGCTCCAGCTCTCGGTCCACCACAAACTCAGTCTAGTTACAACTATAGTCAGCAGCAAAACCAAGGTTATGGGCATGCTGCTCCCTATTCTCAGGCTGCTCCTCATCAGAGCTATGGCCATGGATATGAACAGAAATATGATCATCATGCTCCATCGCAGAATCCATATGGTGGGCATGGGAATGCTCAGCAACTTTACCCTCAGGCTGGGGCTCAACAGGTTTACCCTGGACAACAACAGTATGATAAGCCTCCATCATATGGTGCTCCAGCGCAAGGACCTCCTCCCCAGTCTTATGGTGCTCCTAGGGTTGGTCAGCCTGGAGAGCCTTATCAAGGTGGGTCTGCACCTGCTACATATGGGCAAAATGTGCAACCTCAACAGACGTACCAATACCCAACTGGTGGCTCTACTCAGCAGTATCCTACCCCCTATGGCATACCAAACACAGATGGTTATAACCAGGCACCTGCTGCTGCCGCTGCTGCAGCTGCTGCCAATTACCACCCGCAGCAGGGCAGCCAGGCAGGTTATGGTCAACCTGGTGTACAGCAACTGTCTTCCTATGGCCAGCAAGTAGCTCCTGCTGCCGCGTATGAGCAGTATCCGACCACCCAACAGGGTTACCCCGAGCAGGCTGCTGCAAATACTGCTGGATATGCTGCATACCAAGCACCTCAAGATCCCGCTGCATATAGCAGTGCCCAAGCAACTGCTGCAGCAGTTTATTCTGCGCCAGCCAGTGGGCAACCCACTTATCCTCAACAGGCTGCAGCTCAGCCAAGCTATGATCAGTCAGTTCCACAATCAGGCGGGTATGGAACTGTGCCTTCAAGTGCTCCTGTAGGTTACGGGAAAAGTGTGTCGCCACAGCCACAGCCTCAGCCGCAGCCTGGGTATCCACAGTATGATTCTACTCAAGTTTATGGGGCAAGTCGTTGAATTTTTGATAAATTAGGTTTAGGATCGTTGGTTGTGTAAGCAGTAAGGAAGAGAGGAGAGGAGAGGAGAGGGTGTTATTAATGTGTTGAGAACTTGTTCAATCCGCTGTGTAGGGGATTGACTGTTGTATTTGCATTGCCTGCCTTCATATCGACCAAGTTATTAAAAGCATTCGGTTTATATATGTTATGATGTACGGGCTTGTTCATTAATTGATAAAGTAGAATGCTCATCACCTTGTGTGTTGAGAAGTTTGTGCGTTAAAATGTCAATTTTACGTTTCAAATTCAGGGCGAAGATTTACGAAGGTGGTGTTGGCTAGAGATACAGGCATGGAAACTTTTAACCATAGCTCTTCTCTCGAACAAGCTAGAGCACAAAAGAGGTAAAACATAATTAATTATTTTTGTATTTCTTTTTGTTTTTATGTTTTCTAACTTTTGGTTCATGTAACCGTCAATAAATATATTTTTTAGGTAAGGAAAAAAACAATTATATATTTCTAAAAGCATTGTTGTGTTGTTGTATATGTTATTTAGTCATTTTCTAATTAACTTATAATAAATATTAGAAAAGAAAATATTTCAATATTGTAATGTTACATTATTATTAAGATACAAATTTTTAGTTTTGAAGATACAAGTACGGTGTCTGAATTATAGTTCTATGCTCAAGCCAATACAAAGTATATAACTTGTTCTTATTACAACAAGAAATGCTTTGTGCAACATATTTCCTTGAAAAAAATCACATATAAAGGGACTTTCTTTAACCATTTAATTAGAGTGATTTGAATTGAGTAGTTAGGCTGACCTCTTACAAATGAAATCATAAGCAACCTCCACAACACTCCTGGGTTTAGCTTCCTCGGAAGGCAACTTCAAGAGAGATGCAACTTTCAAGAAAGCGGCATGTTGTGTGGCAAATAGGCATGATTCTTCACTCTCAGAAAGCTCTTTTCTTGGAACTTTGTGCTTCTTCAAAAGGGTAGGCTTCGAAATTGCCCACTGCATTGCCCAAATCGCCAATGGCCTCATGTACCCCAAAGATCTATACTTATCATCTATGTCCCATGCTTCTGGGGTTTGAAATGAATACCTGAACAGGATTTCAGAACAAGCAGATATCAAATCTCCTGTAACTTCAAGAAAAGTGGCTTAAAAACCAGTGGAATTCCAGAATATAAAGAACAAAATGTGGTACCCCAGGCCATCTTGACCCCAAACAGCTTGATGAATGCCCATTGCAGTCTGGAAGCCTGTTTCCACCATTCCTTCTTGAATCATTGAGGCAGCAACAGAGTAAGTAACTCCAGCCCAAATCTCCTTTGGCTGCAATATGGATCTATCAACCCTTCCATCTGGAAACATCCCGTTTACTGCCCCGCGAGTTCCTCCCTTCACCTTCATCACATTGAAATTGAATATCTTTTCAAGTGTACTCCTTATCTTCTCTTCGTCAACAATGGGACAAAGCCCACATGCTCTAGCATACCTGTGTTTTCAGAATGTGAAAGATTGTTGGTGTGGAGTCCCACATCCGCTAATTATGGAGATAATCTTGGGTTTATAAGTAAGGAATATATCTCTATTGGTATGAGGCCTTTTAAAAAAACCAAAAGGAAAACTACGAGAAATTATGCTCAAAGTGAACAATATCATATCATTGTGGAGCGTCGTGAGATTCCTAACAAAACGCAATCAAGTTACTACTCAATCCAACCCTAAGATACAATGTTAAGCTACTACTCTTAACAGAGATAGCTCCAAAATCATGCAAATTCAGCCAGGCCACAAGAGATAAAAAAATGTAAAAGCAAGAAAAGTAAAAGGGGATCAATAAAAGCTTGTTCACTCACCATTGCCCTGCCAGTTGATCAGCTTGAATGGACGAGCTCCAAGGACCACTACTATTGTCATAGTTGAAGTAAGAGCCATTCCATAACGTATCATAAACACCTCTTGCCTTCTGATACTTGATCCAAAAGTAGTGAGCAGCTGCTTCATCATCAACCTCATAAGCCAATGCTGAAGCCGCCTGAAGAGCAGCCACCCACAGCCCACCGCAGTATGCACTCACACCCTTCACAGTCCAAACATCATAAGTTTGATCAGGAAACCCCTCATTCTCAATCATTCCATCTTTATCCTTATCGAACTGATCCATGAAAGCCAACGCTACATACACCGAAGGCCAAACAGATTTTGCAAAATTCTTGTCCCCTGTAGCAACCACGTCTCTGTAAACTTGAAGAACGAATTTGGAACCCAAATCCTTCCATCTGGTGACGTTCAAAAGGTTGTAAGCATTCACTTCAAACCAAGGATCGTTGAAGCCAATATCGTGAGGAACAGCGCCAATAACCTTGCGAGGATAGTACTTTCCGTCGCTCATGATCTTGGCCTTTCTGGGATCGTGCATCAGAACAGCCGCCGCGAAATCCCTCTGAATGCCGAGTTCGAGTTTGGGGAAAAGCATGATAAGAGCAAAAGAGGAGTAGAAATGAACGTCGAAAGTGTTCCACATTAGGTATTCGCTTCCTTCTACGAGGAGTAACTGGCCGACGTTCTCTTGTAGAGTAGGAAGCAATCTGGTTCCGAGTGCAGCGTTTGAGGGTCCGGCGCCTCCGTGGGCTTGATCGAAGATCTGAGACATTCTCTCGAGAATCTCGACGGCGACGTCCAGGCGGTGGTCGCCGTTGGGTGCTCCATTGGGCTCCGATTTTGTCCTTTGGAGGAAAATTTTTTGATGGCTTATGGTTGATAGATTTTGCAGCGGAGGTAAGCCGTCTGAGATCAGGAAGTTTGATTTACAAAATCATTTCTTTAAACAAAAGAAAGATACAAAAGGTCGATTGCAGCTCAACAAAATGTTTTAACTTAATATTAGAATGTCTAAGGGTTAATAATTTTTAGTAATGTTTGAGGAAAATAACTAGTTTGCTTACTAAAGTAACATAACAAGGTTAATGTTCCTGAAACGTAGATTTATTTTTCCCATTAATAATTAGAAACTTGCATCATTGACCATTAATGAGCAGATCCCAAATTGGCTAAATACGAGAGTAGTAGGTCAAATGAATTTCTAGCGTTCCTAGTGATCAGCTAAAGAAGATTTTGTGCTAAGGGGTTATCCCTCAAGAAAGAGGTGTTAAAGGAACTACCCAAGATTCCTTTTAATGCATCAAGATGGTAAGATGGTACCAAGATGTATAATAGTTTAAAGGAGGGTATTTATAGTATATTATAGGGAAAAAAAAAATAGGGAAAGAAAGATATCATGTTATGTTAGCAAAGTACTTAATACCGAAAGTTGTGCGACAAATGTTTGTTGATTTATTACGACTCTCGTAGGCAATTCTGGTTGAGAATGGAAAATATTGTCATGGACTTAATTTTAGGTTCACATAAGATAGTGAAAGATTATAACATTGTTTGAGTAGTGGTGGATGGTCTTAGTCACACGAGATTGCATGTATTACTTTAAGTAATGTCCTCTATCCTATGAAAAATAGGCGAAACTTGGTATTGATATTAACTGGTCTTCAATTTCACAGATGGTTGGAACACCAAATTACACCTCACGAAAATTTCTTATAATTCAAGCAACTATCAACACCTTGACAGAAAGTTTTGTAAGTCCTTAAATAGTTACCAAAAAAAAGTCATATATAAGGTGAAGGCAAGAATGTGTACCATCCAAAATAGATAGAAGAGTTGGGTTGATATAAAGTATAGAAACCTCGAAATTCGAGGTAGGGGATAAAATGTTCCTAAAGAAATAGTGTTGATGAAGGGTGTTCTCAGGTCTAAGCATGAATGAATGCAAATTAAGCTCACATTTCATTAAGTGTTTTGAAATTCATGAGTATTATTTATTAATTTAATAAATTTATTTTTTAAAAAGTAATTTAAAATTTTAATATGGGGTCATTCAAACATTGTGAGTGACAAATTACAATTTGGACAAATTACTCTAACCTATAAGGATCGTTATAATCAAATATTATTTAACCATCCATAAATTGAGATTTGGTTTGGCAAGTAGTTTAGGTTGCTATAAATTTTGTCGTCAATGAATGGACTAAATTTTTAGAAGTTTGATTTTAACATGTATACTTTATTTTCTTTAATTAATCTAAACCATTCTATAGCTAAATTAAATTAAATTTATAGCCTAAAAATAATTAAAAACATTTAATGTGTTTTAGAAGGGTAGGGAATTAGTATGGATAGATAGGGTGGGTGAAAGAGGCCATTAAAAAGGCTTAAATATTTAAAACCAACCAAATGATATCACCCATTTTGACCCACAAAAAACCAAACTATATCATATTCCAAGTCTTAAGAGAGAGAGAGTACCTGTCCACATTGTTCCACCAGAATTTAGGAAGTATAGCTCATTGAAGAGAGTGACAGGGTACCTACAGCATTATCAAAGAAATCCAGCTATTACTGACTTAATTTGACAACGAGTTGTTTGTTTTGTTTCATACAATTATCTCCACTCACCATTCAGGAAGCCTCTTGTCTTCTACTATTGGCCTTTGCCATGCTTCTATCTGGCCTTCCCATTTTCCATGTTCTTTTTTTTTTTTTCCCCATATTTAGTTCACCAATCATCAGTCCACATCACCAACACATTAATATTGTTTTTTAAGCAAACCCTATTTTAGAAACACATACCTAATATTGCATCACGTCCAATTGTCTTAGCGGCTTCTCCGAGCGTTCCGTAGAAGTTAGTGTACCGTCTGTCAAAGAGTATTAATTGCCAACACTTTTTTAAAATTAAAATCCAGATTTTCAATTGATCAGCTTTGATAAGAGTAGAGTCAAGATGTGACCTGTGGTATGTCTTTCCATCAAATTTAACTTCTGGACAATCCCATGCTAACGAGAAAGTGACTGTACAAGTAGATGAAGAAGGAATGCTCACTTTAGCTGCTATGGCTGCTCCAATACTTGACCCTGGTTTTGACTCCTCATGTGGCCCACTATTGCCAAACTTGTCAAATGACCCATGCTGAAATAATATTTCATATCAAATTATTATGGGCTAGTACGAAGACAAACTTTAAAGTCTTGAATTTTTTGAAATAAAATAAAAAGTGAAGTTGACAATTCCTCCCGTCTATTCCTTTTGGCTTCTATTGGAAAGAAGAATCAACGATACATATGGGAGGCTTCTAAGAAA